GGGCATTCAATGGCTGTTGATGATGATAAATAATTCTAAGACAATATATTGATGACTTATAAGGAAACAGAGAGTAAAGTTCCCTAAGATCGGAAAAGGAGGTTCCTCCGGCCAGACGACGTGATCGTGTCTGGCGGGCTACTGTCCAACAGATATGCGTTGGGATTTTTCTATGCATGTTCATTTGGGTATAAACTTCACTTGCGCGATGTAGGATTCGTCATCTATTGCTCTGTATCGTCGATCATTTTTATGCATCGCCACAATTTATAATATTTAGTAGGTATTTTATACCACAAAATATAATCAAAACCTATTTGGTTAGTTTATTAAATGACATTGTATGACAAAGGCTTGCTTCACCGTAAGCTTGGAACAAAACAAATACCAAATAAATGCATAATATATTATCTATACGTAAAACCTAACTACAACTAGACATATTCTACTTATTTCTATAAACTCATCATATAGGTGCATAATATATTTTTATATTTAATCTGCTTTCAAATGTACACTTTAAGGCTTAATTTTTAGATATTATTTTAAACCTATTTCTGCTACTTTCATACTGATCATATTACTCTTTGCCCAAGCATTAGCTTGTATAAAATTATATACAAACATAAATCTTTTTAATTGAAACGAAATGTTTTTTTTTATAATAATTGTTTACTTAATTGAACTACAGTGAACGACAATGATCTGATTAGATATTATTTTATTATATTACATTATATATGATTATCATCAAATGAATTCCTTTTTTAAAAAAAGCTTTGTGAACAAAACAAATATACAAAATTATTCTATTGTATCTATCATGAGTTATACTATAATTATATTGACGGAGACATACTGTGAACTGCTTGGATAAGTACTCGGCCAGTTTCAAACCACACGGGGCTCATATTCATGAGCTGTATGCGCGACAGACGACGTTATGACCTGGATTTTCTTATTTATGAATATTCATTCATTATATTAAACATAACTATAGTTGAAATATTGTCCAAAAAGTGTTTTTATATCTAGGGAAGTTATACCAAATGTGTTATTTGTTTTCTATAACATTTTTTTATGAATTGTTAAATTACATTTAAATTGTTTTTAAGTGTATTAAAAAAAGAGGCCCCGAGTTTCACCTGTATGTATGTAAGTATATTCATGAGCGACTATCCTGCGATTGGCTCAACCGATTTTTGTTTTATGTTTGTTACACAAAAAGTTTGAATACATCACTGAACCGACTTCAAGAAAATAGGGCATTTAAGTTGGTTTTTTTAACGTATATTATAAAATAATTGTTTAATAATAAATATCAGTCGTTCGTTCCGTAGCCACAATTAAATAAAGAACTATTATTGATAATAACCTATTTTATATTACGAATATCCTAATAGCTTTGACGTTTAAGTTAAGTATTTAACTTACTTTAAGTATTATACAACTGTATATATAATTATACATCTACTCAATTTCACTGTAATACGATCTTTATCTATAGTTATACTTGAAATCAAAGTTGCCCGCCATATTTGTTTACAGTCTGAACACGATTATCTTAAAAAATACTAAAGGGACTTTTATAAAGAGATAATATAGAAAGAAAAAGTACGAAAAAAGTGCCGAATTTAGAAACAAAAATCAAAATAAAGTATAAAATTATCGATTTTATAAACATCACTGATTTTGTAACACTCGTTTTTCACTATTTATGAGTCCCATGTAATAGGTGTCCTGTCTCAGTCCCAGGTGAACCCATTGAATCTATTTTCTAAAAAGGCATATAATTATGTATACAAATCTAATTCAAAATGTAACTTTGTATTATATAACTCAAAATAATTATTTTAACCATTATTTTGAATATATATTGTAGCCAGGGCGGTATCCTTAATTAACTTATTGTTATCATATTAGTGTCCTGATTATTATTTCTTTTATACCACTTTTGTGTTCTCATTACGAACAATATATAAAAAAGTTTGACGTAATACTAAATGACGAAAACTAATTCATTTTTCATATGAATTTTTTTTTATATGAATTAAATTGTTTTTTGATGAGATCTACTTTTCACCGGCTATGATACGAAGTACTCAAGTACTGGATTCGTTAAAAAACTAAACCTTAATTAAAAAAAACTTATAAAAAAAACAAATTCCCATACACAAAATGCTATAAAATGTCTTCCTTAAACTGTGGGAACTTAAAAAACGCAAGATACATGTTTCTACTTCTAAATAATATTAAATTAATCGAATAAATAATATCGATATTTTTAATAGGTACTTATGTAAAACTGAAATCAATGAAATTTTATACTAAACCTATTATAGCTTCTTGGCATTAATAACAAAAATAAAATAACTTCATAACACCGTATTTCCTGTCAAAAATTTATGGAATACATAAATAAAACACAAAAAGTTAAACCATGTAATAATAACATTATTTAATAAAAAATAAAGTAGGAATAAAATTATATGAAATTTATACATTCAATATAATGGTTATATGATGTGATTATGAAAATGTTATTAGTGAATGTATGATGGATATGTTAGTGTTTCATACATAGATTTGATATTTCTGAGCTGAAAATATTACATAATATATATATGTATTATATTTCCTTTTTGATTTTTATAATGTAGTAAAAACCAGTGGCAATATGTTTGAAATTATGGCCATATATTGTGGTAAAAAGTAAGAAAAAGTGCATTGATAAATAAACTCATATTTATGAATGACTGATTCCTCCCAATAACTTAACTATGTTTAACTTGCGTTGTGATTGCAATGTTTTTATTTGAGTTCGTATTTTTATGAAATATCATTTATACTGTCAAACACCAAGCGGTCACCGGTGACCGCAACCTATTGTTCTATAATCGTGTCTACAAAACCGGTACTCGACGAGTTAAATTGAGACAATTGTCCGCTCCTCATCCTATATCTGCATTTATTCTTTTATTATGGTGTTTTTTTAATAAGTTTTTTCGAAAAGTTTTTTTTTTAATGTCTGTTATGAAGTTTGTTTATGACTTTGAAGGACTTAATTTAGCATTTTGTGTACGGGGAAAACTTATAACCTAGTTGAGGTGGATTTCCTTTTGGTTGTATGAAGTATTTCCATTTTTAGCAAATCACACATTATTGTGAGTCCAGTTCAACGAAATTAAACGTTGTAAACGAAGATCTTTAAAAATTTAAGACAATAAATTATCGATAAGTTAAAACGAAAAAATAAATTCTTCCCATCACTAAATTAATAACTTATACGTAAAAATAAACGAAATATAAACTGTTGCGCTTTTCAATAGTTGTTTTTAAATTATTATTATTCGAATATCAACGAAAAGAAACCTTAAATAAACTTATTTATAAAACTAATCATATCGCAGATCGGAAGAAAAAGAAATTAAATGATAACTAGTATAAATAACCTAAGGCGGATTGCCGACATATTATGTATTGTATTTAATCAACTAAATTATTATTTAATCAGGAATAAATTCAGACTTCCGTCTCTCAGAAATAATATAACCACAAATAAATATTTATAACAATAACGTAATATTTGAAAAGAAGAATATATTTATATTATATAACTCATATTTATAAATGAAAATGAAAAATTTGAAAATTGAATTTATAAATCAAGTCTGATTCACTCCCGATTAAGTAAAGATTAAAAAAGTAAAAGCGTACTAGTATAAGACTATTCAGCCACGTTCAAATATAAAAATTATTCATTATAATAAACTAAAAACAAATTAAAACTAATAATTGAAACGGTAAAGAGCTCGATTTTCGTTTTAAAATAAACAAACCTATAAAATAATTTGGCATTATATACCGTAGTTATTATAAAATAAAAATAAACCTATAGAAAAGTTGTCAAACTCTATTTTTTAATGTTCCTATTATAGTTTTTGATCGGATTTATTGCCACCTTACAACTGGGGGTTGATATTTAATGAAAGTACTTACTTATTATTTCTATTTATATTTTTAAATTAACAAGTAAAATCTATAAGAAAGAAAAGGGATCAAAATGCAAACTCATTCTAAAAACTATGTAGAAACTATGTACATTATATCAGAACATGTAACGATACGGCGCCATATCCAAGATGGCGACTAAAAGAAAAGACTCTATGATTTTATCACTCAGTTGACGAGTAGCCGTTTACGACTTTAATGATAATGCTAAAATAAAAAATAATTATTAAAGAAATTATCAACTATGAAAAATATATGTTAAATTATACGAAGCTACGATTTAATTATAATTTTCTACGTTAATGCACGTGCCCTTACAGAAAATGTATTTTAGATAATTTAATATATTTTATTTATCACCATACTTAATAAAGTAATATAAAAAATTATATGAAGTAACAAAGACGACGAAGATCTTATCTATGTTAAATGTAAAAAATATTTAAATGAAAAATGAATGAATCAATGAATGAAAATACAATATCAGAAATGTTATTAGAAAAAAAGACAAAAATTCACAAAAACAAATGATGAAATAGATAAAACATAAACAAAATAGTTGTTCAGTAAAAGCGCGCGCACTGAAATGTCACATGTTATTATATTAAGCAAATGTATAATAATGATAACCCATACAATACACATACAGTCCAAATCTCATCAAAATTACACACACACACTCTTATTTTTATATGCCAAACTTTATATAACACTACATTTTGAAAAACAGGTGTGAAGACCTATTCCTATATATAATTTTATATTAAGTTGCTTAGTACAAATTGCATTGCATAGTTCTCCCAATATATATACAACTTATGTTATATAGGACTTAGATTTTTACGCCATATTTACTTATAAACTATTTAAAATATAGATTCGTACACTCACGTTCATACTTAAATTAATATATTGTTTTTTTTTTAATAATTGAGTCATGTTCCTTTGTATGTATATTGAAAATAAAATAATTTATATGAATAATTCGTAACATAACTATTATTTTTAAGAGTTGTAGAAATAAAAAATATTATTTATTATGTTCTTGTAATGGTTCAACAAATTTCAAATATGCAGTATGAAGTTTTGACAGCTCGCATTATCACGTCACATTAAACTTAAAAATATAATTAAAATTTAACTCAAGACACATACGTATCACTCAAGAGCTTTAAAAATAAAACTAATATTATTTAAACTTATATAATACGAAATAAATTGTACTCTCTAAAAAAGATCACACGACGAAAAATATAACTTAATACGAAAAATATGCGTAAACACGAGTTTCACCAATTCCGACATTGCAAAGGATATATGTACAATCCTTAAAAGGACCATCCCTTAAAGTTAATATTTTTAGGATATAGCCATATAAAAATAGTTAGGTATTATATAATAGGTCTAAAAATAATTACATTTAAATCACGCACACACCATACTTAGTCCATAAAAAGATGAAACGACGAAAAATAGAAACTAAATCTGACATTTCATGTCGTCAATAATAAATTCGAATTCGAACTATTGTCACGCAGAATATGCGGTTATTTACAAAAACGAAAACATAAAACTTATAATAAAACATTTTGGCGAAACATTTAAATTTTTGAAATTTTTGATTAAAAAAATAATATTAAAGAATAACTTATTTAAAATTTTGGCCGAAATAACAAATCAACAAATGACTAACTCAAAATTAATATAATATAAAGATATTTAACTATAGCTAGCCCATATTCTTTGACTCACATTATTGTTTTGTTCACATTTCAATACAAAACTATATTGTATTTAAATACCCATTTTGTAATTGTCACATAATGTTTGACATAAAAATTACGGAATGAGATGAGGCCAGTTAAAATTTTTTTTGAGTGAAGTTGAATTTTATAGGTCTTTAGTCGAACAGTCAAAACAAGAGATGAAAAGTTGCAAAAGGTTTAAAAAGACACTGAGATCATCTCTGTATTTTTTTAAAGAATCTGTATCCATAATTTTCTTAGCCGTAGAAATAATCGCCGCATTTCGTTCCGTATTTTTTTCAAATTTGCTATAAATTGTCATTGAAAATGAAATTGTATTGTGAATCATCAAAATCACAAAATGGATGCCATTATACTAAATGGATGTCGTTATTGCACGGAATCTAACCAAAACCGAGTGTTATATTGGAATTCGCTTTATGTGTTCCTGTGTATTATTATATTGCCATAGTGCTAGATAATTGAGCTAAGTTAAGTAAACATGTTTAATATGACCTTAAATCGAATGGTACATTGAAGGGATGAACCAGTGATATACAGATGACAAATTATGACAATATAATATATCATATACTGTGACAATATATTATATTAAGTATTTTAAGATAAGAACTTGAATTCAACACTCTTTGTACCACTTCGAATAGTTTTCAAGATGGAAGACAATGTTTTAAAGTCAACTTAACTCAACTATCTCCCTACATTTGATTTGAAACACTCATGGTATAGTTTAAATCGGATAAAACCCTTGTGAACTAATTTTAACCGGATTCAAACTAAACAAGATTAAACACTCGTGAATTGGTTATACCCGGATCAATCCAGTATATTTCAGTAAAATCGTTTGCCTTAAACTGTCAAACACCGAGCGGTCACCGATGACCGCAACCTATTGTTCTATAACTGTGTCTATAATGACGGTGCTCAACGAGTTAAAGAATGAACTGGAAAAAGGACAAATAAAGCAGTATAGCAGGTTGTAAAACAAATCCCAGGGACCATCGATAAGCAAATTTGAACTTTATAGGCACAAAATTAGACCTATAGTCGAATAGTACAAAAAAAGTTTGAAACAGTTGAAGTACGGGTGCAATTTGTACTTTTTAATAGAAACATGATTTCAATTTCTTCTGTACTATTACGAACAGTTAATAGAAGATGGAATATCTGCCTTTAAGATCATATTCGCTTAAATACACTTCATCCCTTAAAAAGTGTTACTTGTCCTTGATCAGTTATATCTTCTTAAAAATAAACCTTAATTGTGTGAAAATAGGTTTAAAATTGATTGTCTTAATAACTGCAGTGTTTGTCGCTGGCACATATCAGATAATAATACTTCTTCCATTTACGAAATCCTGATGCTTGATGGCAAAATAGTCCTTAATCATGTTAGAAAATGATTCCAAATTCATTGTCTCAATGACCGGAGTGTTTTGTTACTCGCACGTAACAGATGGTACCTTATCCTGATGTCCTTATCCTTAACATTGTTTGTCTTTACGATTTCCGTCTTGTTGCTAGCACATATAAGATGATAATATTCCATTTACGAAGTCCTGATGATTGCTGATGGCAAAATAGACCTTATTCGTGTTGGAAAATGATTACAAATTGGTTGTCTTATCTTGTTGCTCGCACATGGCGAGAATTATCTAATTCTGATGTTAAAATAGACTTCAATTACGTCGGAATACAGTTCAAAACTGATTGTCTTAGCAGCGTCTTGTTGATGTCTATTATTCCATATTCAAATTCCTGATGTCAAAAAACCGTCAACTTGGCGTGAACACCAAAATAATGTGAGTCTTCATTCCTTCATCATTCCTTACATAATACTTATATATAGGGTATTAAAAGGGGTAAAATTATAAAAGGTTATGTCAAAAAGGATTTACTCTCCTCCTGTTTCACGATGCCCATCTCCTGGAGCACTGCCTCCAGACCCTCCGGCATCCTGCCCTGGTCTAACTCCAAGTTCCACTTGTAATACTGGAAAAACAGAAATATAATGTATTAATACCTGCTATAAAAGTTAAATTCATCTATGATAGTTCTGTTATCTTTCTTCTTCTCCATAGACATACAGCGAGAGTGGAGAAAAGGGGGCAGCAAAAAGTGTGAAAGAGAAATAGAGTGGGGAAGAATGGGAGAGCGAGATATAGTTTGTTATTGTCGGTGAAGAGGAGTTCAGGAGAGGAGGAAAAAAGGCGGGGGCGAGACTTTAGAAAAGGAAAGCGAGGGGGTTAAAGGGGGAACGAGAGAGCGATAATGGAGAACAAAGGATGGTAAAGGGGAGAAAAAGAGATGGAAGACAGGCAAGTGTACATAGGCCACGGTAACCGCTTACCATCAGGTGAGCCGTGTGCGTTTTTGCCACTGTCGTAGTATAAAATATATATATAGAGGTATATATATGGAG